TGTGAGCTAAGCTTCCTTCTGTTCATTTTTTGGTCCTGACTGAGCTTTCAGGGCTTCTGGGAAATGGGGGGTTACTCCTATGGGCTGGGGCCCCTCCTTGGTACTTCCAGAGTACTTTCCTGCCTCAGTTTTAGCACTGATGGATCACCCCTTAGTGGGCTGGCATATTTCCTTGTTTGCCTTTTTCCTCTCCTCCCCCAACAATAGGCAGTTTGGGGGAAAGTATGTTCACTGTTGTTTCTCAGTTGAAGCCATATAGAATCACTGGAAGACCACTCCTTCTGGTGGAACACACTATCCCCAGAGGCCCAGAAAGAAAGGGGTAATCATTTAGGTCACAAGGAGAATCTGGCAAATAAGGAAGATGTCCTTCTACAAAAAGTTCGTGAGCAGATGGTATGTAACATGACAGCAGAGGCCTAGCTCATTGTTGTCTTTGGTCCTCAGTTCTACCTCTGTTGATCCTCCAAACGAGGGCCACCAGGCACGGGTCCGGAGAGAGGAGGTGGAATGCATGCCCCGCTCCGGGACCTCAAGTTTGGCCTACCCACCCCATGCAGCCACAGGTGTCCCCCCTGCCCTTTGTGACCTGCCTTTCCTCAGCTGCCCTCTCAGGACAGGGCTATCATCCCCCAACCCCCACCACCAACCCACTAGCCAAATACAAGGCCTAAAGATGCATTGAAGGCCAGGGGCTAGAAAGAATAAATGGAGAGAGCAAGCCCCATTACTCTGACATTTAGAGCTCAGAAAGAGGAGGGGAGTTGACAGAGGAAGCAGAGGAGGGGAGGGAATGGAGGGTGTTACAGGAGGAATTGTGTCCGCCTCTCATTCATATGTTGAAGCTCTAAGCTCAGAGTGTGACTGTGTTGGAGATAGGGCCTTTGCAGAGGTGATTAAAGTTAAATGGGGTCCTAGGGGTGGGTGCTAACCCTAGAGGGGATAAGAAGAGGAGATTGGGACACACACTTGCATGGAGGGAAAGGCCATGTGAAGTCACAGGGAGAAGGCAGCTGTCTGCAAGCCAGGGAGAGGGGTCTCAGGAAAACCAACCTGCTAGCACCCTGATCTGGACTCCCAGCCTCTAGAACGGTGAGAAATACCTTTTTGTTGTTGAAGCTGCCCAGTCTGTGGTGTTTGTTCTGGCGGCCTGAGCAGACTAATATGGACAGGTGGTGGTGGTGGTGGGGGGGGGGTTATGTGAGAGGGGGTGCAGCAGTCAAGGGAGTAAAGGCAGCTTCACTTCACAGAGGAGGCCGTGGTTGGTAAAAATCCCAGGTGGGTCAGATAGTGATGGTAAACCCCGAGGCATGCTGGCCCCTGTCAGTGTCTGCTTTCGCTTCCATCACACATTCTGTCCCTCCTCCTCCCCCTTTGCTGGGCAGCAGGCGCTATTAACTAGCCCCCCTTAGCGGCTGACGGAGCTGCGGCGGCTCCTAGATTGTGTGACTAGCCTGTAAATCAGAAACATTTAGGGGCAGGTCTCCTGAACCTTCTTCTTAAATCCCACATAGCAATTCGGCCAGGCCACTCGGCTCGGACCTGCAGAGTGACTCTGAAACTGCAGAATCATTGCCCGAGCTTATTTGCCGGGGGGGCTGCGTTTGTCGGGCCTGCTAGAAGCAGAGCCAAGCACAGCCAGTGTCGCAAATAGAGAGACACGTGATCTCGTCTGCAGCTGGCCTGACAGTTCCGGCTGGCAAGTGCCTCTGATAAGCCCACTGAGGGTGCGGCATCAGGCAGGAGCTCTGGTTCCTGCTGGTGGAAGCTGCTTCCCTGCCAGCATCTCGTGGGGGCTAAGGAGAACAGGGTTCTCTGGAGAACCCAAGTGACTGAAGGCAGTTCATTACCCACAAGGTGTTGGTCTCAAAGCCCCTCAGCTTCCTCCTCCACAGAACCTTCAACAGTTTGTGTAGGATTCTCCAATGCTTGGAACAACTGGGGTGTGTGTGTGTGTGCGCGCGCGTATGCGCGCGCAAGCGAACAGGCGAGCCCGTGTTTAGGGGGACGGATCCTATAGCTGTCTGCCAAGCCCTTTCTAGGTGAGGACAGTGTCTTGGGGAGTCTGTTGACTCATGGGTGAGATCTGGGTTGAGCCTTAGAGGTGAGCGGGTGAGGAGAGCAGCAGTGTTTTGTGTGTGTTGGCCGGGGGTGGTGGGGGTGGTGGGGGTGGGTGGGTGACCACCTAGCCAGGGCATAGATGCACTGTTTGGGAACAACATTTTAATGATTCAAACCCATTCCCTCTGAAAGATGGCCATTTAAACACATTATATTTAAAAAGAGGAAATGTGCAAAAATAAGATAAGGACTTGAACCAGGAGCAGGGAGAATTCTATGGGGGTTTTTCCTTCCAGAATTACCAATATAAATAATCCTTTTTTATATTACAAACTAGCATGGACACACAGCAACTTAATTGCATATTTGTTATGACAAAGTGATTTCCATGACTGATAGAACTGCAGAGTTTAATTGGGGAGGGAGAATCACATAGCACCTGTGTCAAGCTGAATGAACATCAGCTACAAATGCATGCCTCTGCCTAGGGAGAAGCTGTACTTCCAGCATTTGGCCTGAGGCTGGGTCACTGAGCCAGCAGAACTCACTCCTTCCTTCCTTCCTTTCTTCCAGCTGGGCCAGCGTCTGCCTGCTTTCCCCACACGTGGTGAGTAGAGGTCCTCCTCTTAGGCCCCAGCTCTGAAGCCTATCTGCAATGCTCCTTTGGGCTCTTCAAACACTCTTCAAACACTCCACACACTTTTCTAGACTTTTCTAGATTTTCTTCAGCTTCACCTACCTCTGGGGAGATGTGACTGGGGCGGGGGGGAAGGGAAGGGAGAGGGGCCTGCAGCCTCTTGTACCAGAATCTGTACTTAGCCACCTTGGGCAGCATCAGTTAACCTCATGTGCCCATCTCTAAAATGTGAAGAACATTCTAAAAGGTGTTTTTAGTTTTAAATGAGTTATAATAACAAAGTTCCTGGTGTGTAGACATCCCTTCTTTTTATATAGCATTTGTGTTCATGTGCCGTATCATATCACTCATCCATTACTCAACACATTTATTTCATGTCTACTATTGGAAAGGCATGGTACTAGAGGCTAAATTGAAATGAGCTTACACATTTCTTTTTCTCCTTGTGTATCCTTACAGCACCAGAGGTCTTACTGTCCAGTTGATTTTAGTAGGCCTGGGCTAGCCATCTCATTTAATTCCTCAAACTTCTTTAGACACTGCCTCACCCATCGCTTAGCTTTGAGAAGCATCTGTTCTCTCTTAAATATTGACTTCGGCGTAGTGGGTTTACATGATTAATCCTAAAGCATGTTTAACCTTCACCAAAGTGAATGTGGGCTCTTGACTTTGTTGGTGTCACAATCCAGATACTCCCAGAGTGGTCCTGGCTGGGTTTCTGGTGAGTGGGAAAAAAGTGACCCACCCCTCCCTGAGGTTTTCTTGCTCATTCATTTGGCATACAACAAACATTTATGGATTTTTTAAAATGCTAATCTCAGGTAATATAAACTCCTCGGTTGGCTGTAAGGAGTCCTGGGTCCTCACTGACTCGCCACTTTCCCTCTGATGAGGATGTATTTGTATACCATCCTGTGTACAGCTCACTGTCACATTCCTTCTTATTCCTTAAAATGCTTCCTGTGAAATGAGGATGTCATTGTGCTCCCAAAGTGACTCTTTGTGCAAGCCTCATCCTGCCTCAATTTACTTAAACAGGAAAAATGATCTATGCTTTCCTCTAGTCAAACATGGATTTTTCCTTCATGTATTTTGCTTTTGATGACTTGTTTATCCCAAAGCTATCCTTCCATATGTTTTCCCCCCAAACCTCAGGTTTTATTTTCCTCATGTAAGCCTGATATTTGCCAACTGTCCTGGCTTCATCTGCTGGACCCAACTCCTTTCCATGGATTTGTAATCACACAGCTGCCATATACCAAGTTTTTATATGTGCACAAATCGATTTTTGGCCTCTCAATTTTATGTCACTGTTATTTTTTCCAACTCTTACAATATGTTGTTTTAATGACTATTGCCTTATAATAAACTTGAATCTAGTATGGTATGCAATATCATCTTATTCTTTTATAAAAATCCTCTTTGATATTTTTGGGCCTCTAAATTCTGTATAAATATTAAGATCAGCTGGCAAGTTTCAGGAAAAACTGCTGGGATTTGGAGTAGATTAACATTGAATTTTTAGATTAGTTTTGGGAGAACTGACATGTTTAAACTATTGAGTCTTGGCAGATATCAGCATGATAGGTATCTCCATTTATTCAGCTCTTTCTTATGCCTTTTAATTAAGTTATAGCTTTTACACACAGAAGCCTCACTCATATTTATTTAAAATTAGTTTTATATAATTTTTCTTTGCTTTTGTGACTGGAATTTCTATTTTATTACCAATTCTAATTGGTTATTGGAAATGTTATTAATTTCTGTATATCCATCAAAGATCCAGCTGTTCACCTTCATTGGATCTAGTAGTTTATAAACTTTCTTGGATTTTCTAAGTTATCATAATGTCTCCGCCTTTTGTTCTTGTTTTTACATGACATAATGGTGACTATGTTAAAAGAAAATTTTTTAATGATTAATCATTATATTAAGTGTTTTTGGGAGATATTCTTTATCAAATTAGGAAATTCCATTCTGTTTCTGACTCATTTATTTTATTTTATTAAGATTTTATTTATTTTTTTGAGAGAGAGGAGAAAGCACAAGTGGGGGTGGGGTGGGGTGGCACTGGGGGAGGGGCAGAGAGAGAGGGAGAAGCAGGCTCCTCGTGGAGCAGGGACCCCCCCCCCCACTAGGGGCTCCATCCCAGGACTCTGGGATCAAGAGTTGAGCCAAAGGCAGATGCTTAATGGACTGATCCACCCAAGCACTCCTATTTCTGACTCATTTATTTTTTTAAAAGATTTTATTTATTTGACAGAGAGAGACACAGCAAGAGAGGGAACACAAGCAGGGAGAGTGGGAGAGGGATAAGCAGGCTTCCCGCTGAGCAGGGAGCCAGATGCAGGGCTCTATCCCAGGACCCTGGGATCATGACCTGAGCCGAAGGCAGACGCTTAACGACTGAGCCACCCAGATGCCCCTTTCTGACTCATTTAAATTGTTTGTTTAGAAGCCATGGTACTCTGGATTAAATCTTTTTCAGTTTCCATTGGAATAACCCAAATATTTTCCTCCATTAAAATGTAAGTAAATACATTAATAGGTTTTTCTATGATTTATTTTAATTACTACTGAAAGATTTCAAGATACATTTTTTTCACATATTAACATTTCTGAAATTAGAATGCATCTTATAATTTAGTCTGTGAGAATATTAGAATGGGAAAGTTTTTCTTTCTTAGTGGTATATTAAATTTGATGTGTTACAGTAAATAGCATCTCATATTAAATGAGATACAGTAATAGGTTTTCTAATGCTTAAACATTTAACAGTTCTGATATAAACTCACATTAGTTAATTTATTTAGGATATTTGTATTTATTTCATAAGAGTGGCTAAGATTTTTGCTTTATCTGCCATCTCTTACTTTATTCTATTTTATTGAAGTAAAATTGATGTATATTAGGGGTACCTGGGTAGTGCAGTCTGTTAAGCGTCCGACTCTTGGTTTCGGCTCAGGTCATTATCTCAGGGTTCTGAGACTGAGCCCTGCAAGGGGCTTCATGCTCAATGAGGAGTCTGCTTGAGTTTCTCTCCCCCTCTCCCCGTCTCTCCCCCCTCCCTTCTGTGCTCTCTCTGTCATACTGAAATACATAAATAAATCTTTTTAAAAATTGATGACTAATATTGTATTAGTTTCAAAGGTACAACATAATTATTAGATATTTGTATATATTTTAAAATGATCACAATAAATCTAGTTATCATATATCATCATATAGAACTACATTTTTTTCTCATGATGAGAAATTTAAGGATCTACTCTCTAAGCAACTTTCAAATACAAAATAACAATACAGTGTTATTAACTATAGTCACCATGCTGTCCATTATATCTTTATGATTTATTTACTTTATAACTGGAAGTTTGTGCTTTTTGACTCCTTCACCCATTTTACCCATCACCAACCCTTCTGTCTGGCAACTGTCAATCTGAATCTATCATCTTTTTTTTTTTAGATTTCACATATAAGTGAAACATATATTTGTCTTTCTGTGTCTGTTTCTTTATTTCATTTAGCATAATGCCCTTAAGGTCCATCTATGTTGTCACAAATGGCAAGATTTTCTTCTTTTATATGGCTGAATAATATTTCATTGCATACATATACCACTTCTTTTGAAAACTGTCCAGTTTTCCAATCACCATAAATTGAAGAGATTGTCCTTTCTATGTTGTACGGGTTGATTTCTAGGTTATTTTATTCTGTTGATCTCTATGTTTGTTTTTGTGCTAATACTATGCTGTGTTAATTACTACTGCTTTGTAACATTGTTTATAATAAGGGAGCAGGGTGCCTCCAGCTTAGTGCTCCTTTCTAAAATTTGCTTTGGTTATTTGGAGTCCTCTGTGATTCAACACAAATTTTAGGATTTTTTCTATTTCTGTGAAAAATGCCAATGGAATTTGATAAAGATTGCACTGAATATGAATATTGTTTTGGGTAGCATGGACATTTTAATAATATTAATTCTTCCAATCCATGAGCATGAAACATCTTTCCATTTTTCTCTGTCTTCTTTAATCTTTTTTGTCAATGGCTTATAGTTTCCTGTGTACAAGTCATTCACCTCTTTGGTTAAATTTATTCCTAGGTATTTTATTTTTCTTATTCTTTTTTATACAATTCAAAATGCAATTATTTTCTTAATTTCTATTTCCTTTTTTTAAAGACTTTATTTATTTGAGAGAGAGCAAAAGTGGTGGGGGAGGGGCAGAGGGAGAGGGAAAAGCAGACTCTCTGCTGAGCAGGGAGCCCTATGTGGGCCTCAATCCCAGGACTCTGAGTTCATTACCTGAGCTAAAAGCAGATGCTTAACCTACTGGGCCACCCAGGCACCCCTTAATTTCTATTCCTGATAGTTCATTATTAGTGTATACAAAAACAATATATTTTTGTATATTGGTTTTGTATCAAGCAATTATACTGAATTTGTTAATTAGCTCTAACAGTATTATAGTGGAATTTATATATATATTTTATGTAGGTGTGTGTGTATATATATGTACACTTTATATATAAACATATTATATATATATATATATATATATATATATATATATATATATATATACTTTTCCTTCCTTATTTGGATGAATTTTGATTCGTTTTTGTGCCTTATTGCTCTCGCTAAAACTTTTAATGCTATGTTGAATAAATGAGGCACGAATGGGCATCCTTGTTTTGCTCCAGATCTTAGAGGAATAGCTTTCAGGTTTTACCATTGAGTATGATGTTAGCTGTGTACATTTTACATATGGCCTTATCATGTGAAGTATATTCTCTCTATACTTACTTTGTTCAGAGTTTTTATCCTAAATAGATGTTGAATTTTATCAAATATTTTTTCTGCATCTATTGGGGTGAGTAAATTATTTTTATCCTGCATTTTGTTAATGTGCTATATGACATTGATTGATTTATGGATGTTGACCCATCCTTGCATCCCTGGAATAAACTCTACTCTATTTTTTTTTTCTTTCCCCACATCCATTATTTATTTATTTATTATTATGTTATGTTAATCACCATACATTACATCATTAGTTTTTGATGTAGTGTTAGATGATTCATTATTTGCATATAACACCCAGTGCTCCATGCAGAACGTGCCCTCTTTAATACCCATCACCAGGCTAACACATTCTCCGACCTCCCCCCCCCTTTAGAACCCTCAGTTTGTTTTCAGAGTCCATTGTCTCTCATGGTTCATCTCCCCCTCCAATTCCACCCCCATCATTCTTCCCTTCCTGCTATCTTCTTCTTCCTTTTTTTTTTTTAACATATAATGTATTATTTGTTTCAGAGGTAAAGTTCTGTGATTCAACAGTCTTGCACAATTCACAGTGCTCATCATAGCACATACCCACCCCAATGTCTATCATTCAGCCACCCCATCCCTCCCACCCCCCACCACTCCAGCAACCCTCAGTTTGTTTCCTGAGATTAAGAATTCCTCATAGCAGTGAGGTCACATGATACATGTCTTTCTCTGATTGACTTATTTTGCTCAGCAAAACACTCTCCAGTTCCATCCACGTTGTTGCAAGTGGCAAGATTTCATTCCTTTTGGTGGCTGCATAATATTCCATTGTATATTTATATACCACATCTTCTTTATCCATTCATCTGTCGATGGACATCTTGGCTCTTTCCATAGTTTGCCTATTGTGGACATTGTTACTGTGAACATCGGTGTGCACGTACCCCTTTGGATCCCTACATTTGTATCTTTGGGGTAAATACCCAGTAGTGCAATTGCTGGATCGTATGGTACCTCTATTTTCAACTTTTTGAAGAACCTCCATACTGTTTTCCAGAGTGGCTCCACCAGCTTGCATTCCCGCCAACAGTGTAGAATGGTTCACCTTTCTCCACATCCCCGCCAACATCTGTCATTTCCTGACTTGTTAATTTTAGCCATTCTGACTGGTGTGAGGTGGTATCTCATTGAGGTTTTTATTTGTGTTTCCCTGATGCTGAGCGATGTTGAGCACTTTTTCATGTGTCTGTTGATCATTTAGATGTCCTCTTTGGAAAAATGTCTGCTCATGTCTTCTGCCCATTTCTTGATTGGATCATTTGTTCTTTGGGTGTTGAGTTTGATAAGTTCTTTATAGATTTTGGATACTAGCCCTTTATCTGATATGTCATTTGCAAATATCTTCCCATTCTGCCGCTTGTCTTTTGGTTTTGTTGACTGTTTCCTTTGCTTTGCAAAAGCTTTTTATCTTGATGAGGTCCCAATAGTTCATTTTTGCCCTTGCTTCCCTTGCCCTTGGCGATGTTTCTAGAAAGAAGTTGCTGTGGCTGAGGTCAAAGAGGTTGCTGCCTCTGCTCTCCTTTAGGAAGTTGATGAACTCCTGCGTCACATTTAGGTTTTCAACCATTTTGAGTCTATTTTTGTGTGTGGTATAAAGAAATGGTCCAGTTTCATTCTTCTGCATGTGGCTATCCAATTTTCCCAACACCATTTGTTGACGAGACTGTCTTTTTTCCATTGGACATTCTTCCCTGCTTTGTCGAAGATGAGTTGACCATAGAGTTGAGGGTCCATTTCTGGGCTCTCTATTTTGTTCCATTGATCTATGTGGCTGTTTTTGTGCCAGTACCATACTGTCTTGATGATTCCAGCTTTGTAATAGAGCTTGGAGTCCAGAATTGTGATGCTGCCAGCTTTGCTTTTCTTTTTTTTTTTTTTTAAAGATTTTATTTATTTATTTGAGAGAGAGAGAATGAGAGACAGAGAGCATGAGAAGGAGGAAGGTCAGAGGGAGAAGCAGACTCCCTGCTGAGCAGGGAGCCCGATGCGGGACTCGATCCCGGGACTCCAGGATCATGACCTGAGCCGAAGGCAGTCGCTTAACCAACTGAGCCACCCAGGCGCCCTGCTTTTCTTTTTCAGCATTCCTCTGGCTATTCGAAGTCTTTTCTGGTTCCATACAAATTTTAGGATTATTTGTTCCATTTCTTTGAAAAAAGTGGATGGTATTTTGATAGGGATTGCATTAAATGTGTAGATTGCTCTAGGTAGCATTGACATCTTCACAATATTTGTTCTTCCAATCCATGGGCATGGAACATTTTTCCATTTCTTTGTGTTTTCCTCAATTTCTTTCATGAGTATTTTATAGTTTTCTGAGTACAGATCCTTTGCCTCTTTGGTTAGATTTATGCCTAGGTATCTTATGGTTTTGGGTGCAATTGTAAATGGGATCAGCTCCTTAATTTCTCTTTCTTCTGTCTTATTGTTGGTGTTTAGGAATGCCACTGATTTCTGTGCATTGATTTTATATCTTGCCACTTGACTGAATTCCTGTATGAGCTCTAGCAGTTTTGAGGTGGAGTCTTTTGGGTTTTCCACATAAAATATCATATCATCTGCAAGGAGTAAGAGTTTGACTTCTTCTTTGCTGATTTGGATGCCTTTTATTTCTTTTTGTTGTCTGATTGCTGTGGCTAGGACTTCTAGTACTATGATGAATAGCACTGGTGATAGTGGACATCCCTGCTATGTTCC